AGAAAAAAATATTTGAAGAAAAATAATGGTGGCAACTTTTCTGCACTTCACTGAAATCAGCAGCCCATAGTCCCAGAAACCTCAGAGGAAGGACCTCAAGCAGGATCAAGAGCCAGAAGACCACACTTAGGAACATTATAGACAAAGTGGTAGAAACCAAAGATATAGAGAAAATCTTCAGGGCGGCCAGAATAAAAAGACATGTTATATATAGAATAACAATAGGAATGACCACTGACTTAACAGATGAAGGCCAGGAGACAATCGAACATTTGGGGATGGGTTAGCCTGGTGATGGGCATTAAGGAGGGCACATACTGCATGGAGCACTGGGTGTTATACAAAAACAATGAATTGTGGATCACCATATCAAACACTAATGATGTGTGGTGACTATAACATAATAAAATAAAATTAAAAAAAAAAGAAAATCTGTCAACTTATAATTGCAAATCCAGCAAAAATATCTGAAAAGTGAAGCCAAAATAAAGGCATTTTCAGATAAACAAAGGCTGGAAGAAGCTGCTGTCACCACACTTAAAGAAATGTTAAAGGAAGTTCTTTAGACTAGAGTAAGATGATACCAGATAGAAATCTGGAACTGTTCAAATAAATGTGAAGCATTGGAAATGGTATATATATGTGAGAAAACATGGCCTTATTTTTCTTTTAAAAAATTCTTTAGTAACCAACTGTTTAATTTTAAATATTCGCAACCTTTGTGGGATACAGAACAAATGTATCAGTATCCTACTTAACAAGAGCATACCAGCCAAAAAGGGGTATAAATGGATTGTTTTTTAAGGTTTTTACATTGTATGGAAATGGAATGATATTGATTCAAGCAACTGATAAAGATGAAGACTGTAAACTCAAGAGCAAACACCTAAAATAGAAAGAGGTGTAACAACAAAGGACAGTAGAAGGTCCAGAACAAAGTGCTGAAGGAAACATTCAATTAACTGAGATGAAGGCAGGACAGAAGGGACAATGAACAAGGGGTTCAAGGGAACACAAGGAAGATAATGAGACAACCAATCAAATACCGTAACATTAAATGCAAACAGACTGAACAGTCCATCAGGAAGTTAGTGATCTCAGGTCTCAACTACTGCTGGTAACAAGACCCACTCTAAATATAAAGACACAGACAGAAGGTAGGGAAACAATGGAAACAATGTGACACCTCACTAGGAAGCATAAAGAAGCTGGTGTGGCTATTAACACAGAAAACTTTAAAGCGAGAAGTATTACAGACAAAAAAAAAGAGAATTAATTTCACATTGATAAGATGGTAAATCATGGAGAAGACATAACAAATATATATGTGTAGGCACCTAATAAAGTTTCTAAACACATGAAGCAAAATTGAGAAATATGTAGAAATTCATAACTTTATTTATACTGGAAGCTGTATTTCCAGTTAAAAATGGGGAAAAAATACATTCACAAGTGATAAAATCTGTAAAACGACCATATAATTTTACCAAGAAAGCGATAGGACCTGTTTAGACAAACTATAAAATGTTGTCAGGATTAAAGACTCATGCCAATGTCCTTGAAGACAATATATTTCCATTTTCACGTGAAGAAATAAACACAGCTGCAATCAAAGTGCCAATGTGGTTATTTTTAACTGATAGCAGAATATATTTTTCTTTTTAAGTATTCATGATGGGGGGATAAAAGTCATGATGTCTATAATTTACATTCAGGTGGCACATTGAAATAAGAAAGGCAGAAATATATGGTAAGATGTTAACAATTCTTGTACATCTCAATATAATTTCTACTTTTTTGTAAGTTTGAAAACTTTTTAATAAAAATATTTAAAAATGCATTTATTATGTAACAATTTCCATAACATTTTTGGAAGGTAAATGAAAGATGAAGATTATCTTACCAGGTATGTATGATAAATTTCAACACAGTTATGGTATTCAAAACAGTATGATCACAGTCGAGGATTAATTAGCATTTAAATGGCTTAAGGAACTCCAACAATTATCCAAGTTTATATGAAAACTTCAAGCAGAGGAAAAAATGGATTATTAATTAAATGGCATTGATTTAACCCACCAGGAATAAATAAAAGACATAACTCCAGAAGAACTAAGATCTAACTATGAAAAGAAAAACTATAAAAATATACAAAATGAATTTTAAGTGGTATTTATATTACTGTGAGGACAGGGGAGGTCATCTTAAGCAAGACAGGAAACTGGATTTGATAAAAACAAATGAGAGATTTGACCTCATGGAATTAAATTTTTTTATAGTCAAAAGAAAATCTGAATAAAGGTTTTGAAAATCGCCTGAAGAAAATATTTGTAACATATAACAGAGAAACTTTCAGTACCCTTAATAAGATATATAATGCATACTGATTTATAAAAAAAGTAAACAACTCAACAAAAAAATACGCAAAAGCTCTGAGCAGACATATACACAGAAGTAGGAACAATAAATAGCCAACAAACGTGAAGCAATCTGTAATGCAGGGAGCTATCAGAAAATGGCACATTTTATGAGCAAGTTTTCACCCACATGTTAGGAGGAGTATGAATTTCCACAATCCTTTTAGAAAATTTACTATGTTTAGATGTTTATAAATTTCTAGCATCATGCACTACACAGTACATATTTTTAGAGGACCAGTAGGTAAGACTAAATAAGCAAGTTTATTACAGCTTTATTTATACTGCAAAATTCTAGAAATATGTCACCATCGGGGGAAAGGTTTAACAAGCTTTTATATAGTATGGGGTATACAGTACCCCATACTACAAGATGTTATAGAACTCTTAGAAAAAAGGAATGCATCTGGTATAATCACATTTTTATTAAAAAAAAAAGAGGACAGTATATTTGTGTATATATATTGTGCACACACACACACACACACACACACACACACACCCCAACACAGAACTTGGAATAAACACAGAAAAGTGCATGGGATGATATTATACCCAATAGATTGCTGGCATGGAGTTCAGAAGAACAGAATATTCTTCTTATATTCACTTCTGCACTCTTTGAATTGTTAAGACAAACATGCATTACTTTTAAAATCATTAACTGTCCAAAAATTAATTAATCATCCATAATTAAGACAGTATACACCACTAACACACACACACATATGCATTAAGCACCAAGTATATTATTTGTAATTAGATTCTTAAATTTTCTATTTTAAAATAATTATTATAATCATTTTGCTAAAAAATACATGCAAGAAACTTGACACTAATTACATGACTCTTATAATCTAAAAAAAAAAAAAAAAATGTATGCACATGGGTTTCAGCAAACCAAAGACTACTTTCATCCAGGGTATGTTATAACCGCCGTAAGAAAGAGAACTGTAAACAAACACCTGTTTCTACAAGAACTACACACAAAACCTGTTGCAGGCAGAGAGACATGATGATTGTAAATCACATGCATCCCTTGGGCTGCAGGCAGAGGAAGATGTGTTGGGAAGAACCTTTGTGGCTCTTCACGACACTGAGCCCCCCTTCCATGATCCTGGGAGGCCCTGGCAATGCGTTCAGACCACCCTAGATGAAAATAAGATACCTGTTTTCCTTAAACAGGGCTCTCAAAATTGTGTAAGTTTCAGGCTCTGCAAAATCTGGACCTGCCCCGGTTTGAATATAAACTGAATCCCACACAACAGCAGCTTAATCAAAGGAACGGATATCATCATATTATACGTATGTAATATTCTTGAAGAGGCAAACTTTATTACATATCTATAGTCATTTGTAAACCTAAGGTTTTGTGTTTGTGGTACCTGAGTGAATTGCTTCTAAAAACTTTAAAACAGACTCTTCTAAAAAGAAATGTTATGATCAGTATTTCATGGATCATGGAGGAAGAATGCAAAGCACCCAAACAAAGAGAATATCGACCCAAGTTCAGCAAGACTAGAAGAGACCAGTAAACAAATGTTCACAAATCTAAAGGTAAAGATGGCATCACTTAAGATGGACTTGGTCAGATGTGGAAACAGCAAAGGGAAAGTCCTAGCAGTAAAAGCTGGTGGTCATACCTAAAAACTGACAAGAGGAATAGGCAGGTTAGCCAATGGACTGAGACCTAATATACAGAGGGTGGACAGGTTCACAATGGACACACCTGATATATTTCTGATTTTGTTAGGCAAGGCATGCCTTCTCAGAAAAGATAAACCAGATAAATTTAGCCTGATGCATTAGAACATTTTAAGTAATCTAATTCTCCTTGTTCTGACTCCATGTCCATGAAACAAACTTTTGATTGTCACTTGTTTCCCAAATGATCTGAGCACACTGAATGCCAATATTCTGATGCTTGTAACTAGAATATATGTTTGTAGATGAATAAAATGGAATTCCAGTTTTATCCATCAATCACGTTAGCTTGGTCAATAAGATCTGGATTCTGAAAAATGAATCCATTTTTAATCGCTTTTGAGTCTGTGAAGCCAGTGACCAAACCCTGGACTGAAATGAATTCAAGGAGCGGCCTCTTATAAAATGACATCGCTTTAAAAGTACCCATTCCTGGGGCGCCTGGGTGGCTCTGTTGCTTAAGTGTCTACCTTCGGCTCAGGGCATGATCTCCAGGTCTTGGGATCAAGCCCCACGTCGGGCTCCCAGCTCAGTGGGGAGTCTGTTTCTCCCTCTGCCTCTCCCCCTGCTTGTGCTCTCTCTCTCTCTCTCTTTCAAATGAATAAATAAAATCTTAAAAAAAGTACCCATTCCTATATGAGCAGTTTAAATTGCAATTCATATTTTAACATATCCCGATAATTCACTCTCAGTAATTTTGTCAAATAAGGAAATGCAAAGCAAATATAAATACATGTAAAACAAAAAGAAAACACATAAATATTTTTACACTTCTTCTTTCAAATATAAATTTATGCTAAATTACATTTCTGTTTTTAAGTATAAGTTTATTCCAGACAATACTTCCTAGGCTTCTAAGCTTTTAAAGATGATTTTTACCTATGTGATTGATTATTAAGGTTTAGCGATCCGGTCTGGTACATCTCCTCCAATTGTTTCCTGTTTCCAAAGTACAGAGCAAGGTCTGTGGCAATGATAGCTTTGCGGATGATCTCGAGCACCTGTTCATATTCACTGGAGCTCAGGGTGGAGAAGATATTGTGCCCTTCCAACTATGGAGAAAACACAAATACCACCAATAGCAAGCACAAGCTCTAATCTTATGACATTTGCAGGTATTTGAAACAACACAGACAGTCACTGGCATCTGGCACACACATGACAGGTTTGGGGGAAACAAAAGGATAGTTTGTAATGATTAATGGAAATTAACGTCACAGTTTCTCTTTAAGCTACAACAGTGAAGCTACTACCACTTAAATGATCTATCTACTACGGTAACATCATTTGCTACCACAAAATCCCAGTTATTTAAATATATAGCCAGTTTTTGGAATTTCCAGTAAGCAATCAAAGGACTAGAAAACATAAAATGCTTAAGACATTTCTTCTTAAACTAATTTAAAACTTTTTTTATATTAGACTGGAAATTAATGGATTAAAAAATCATGGATATCTTTGTCCACTTAGCAAGTCTAATGAATAGTAACCTACTTTCTCCATATTATAGAAGAAAATGTCCCACAACCTCAAAATAAAGTTTAGTCAGGCATATTAAAATTTCTCCCTACAGGTAACAACCTTTTCCCATAAAACACAAATTGCTGAGGTGCAAACACTATAGGGCCATCCTCTCTTCTTCTGTCCTCATGGGAGGGGGGACAGCAGACCATCACCCTGGACAAGATCAGAACACTGGGCATTTGGACTCTATTACCTCAGAAGTATTCTTCCGCATATGAATCTGTTAAAAACTTTTTACAATAACTGAGAATCTTAAGTCTTTATTTGTAATTGAGATAAAAATGGGTCATTTTTGTTCAAACAAAAAAGACTGAATAATAAAGATGGATTCAATTTGTGGGCTCATCAACTGTAAAATTATTCATTATTAGTCAACATAATCCTACTGTAATTGATTGTTTTCACTTGCTCTGAGCTATATTTATTGGCTGATAAAATACATTAAAAATTTGAAACTATTAAAATATATTTTACAAAATCAGACATTTCTCTAAGACACTGCCTCCTTCCTATTACTCTGAAATAAGGCAGTACATGCACCATTTGTTTTCAATCATCAGAATCTTTATTACCTACTCTTAAGCTTTTATAAATATTTAAATTATCCTATGATAAGTGCAGCAAATGGAATTAGCTCTAGTTGGTTATTTTCCTGACAATAATAATAAGAAGGCCTTACATTTGTAGGATGCTCTAAATTCACAAAACATTTTCAAATGCATGATTTCATTTTCAAATTATTAAATTTAAATAAATCTGATGTCTAATTGAAATTAAGTTATTTGCTGAAGCATCAACAAGATTTTTCTTTGAAGAGCAACTGCAGTGCTTCTATAAACTGGTCATTTCGGTCATTTTTAGTAATGCAATCTCATCTGAAGCAGCTTCCATCTGAAGCAGTATTCTGTATGCAAGCAGAATACAACAGGGCCAAGGGGTAGACGTGATGAGAGACTTGAACCCGACACAAGGAAGAACCCCCTGAAGCTCAGCTACCATGGGGATGGAACAGGGACGACACAGGGGATGCTGTGGGTGGTGGGTTCAGGCACAGGCTGCTTGGTAACTGAGGGGACAAGGGGAGGGGATTCAAGCTTTGGAAAGGTGGCTGAACTCAACTCTCCAAAATTTTAGTGCAGGAAGATAAAATTTTTTCTCTGACTCCTGCTAGGAAATCTGCTTTGCTTTCATTTGATCCTAACTCAAGTAAAGCAGTAGCCTCCATTTCAACATTTAATGCCTCATCACCTACGCTCCCAAATCATAAACACATTTCACACTGGTAGGTTTGGTTGGTACTCATGCACGCATCCGCTATTGGCAGGTCATCTGAAGAGCAATCATATGTGATACGTATTTACATGCTTTATTCTATTACCAATAAACCTGTAAATTACAGTGTATAAAAATATTCTGTCACACTGTTGGAAATTTTTTTTAGATTTCTCTAAAATAGAAACTTCTTGGCTTGGGTTCCAAAAACTCTCTCCGGGACCACAGAGTTATAAACTCACCACATCTATCTACCTATCTATAAATTATGTGTTGAGTGCATCATCCATAAGCATATTATTTTATCAGATTCTCGAAAGTATCCATGATCTATGGCAAATGGAGACCCATTTTAAAGGATGTGTATATATTCTGTTGGCTACTTTGGATTTACTATTTCTTGTATTACTTTTCTTTTTAAAAAAATTCTATTTAAATTCTAGTTAGAATTTAAATATACATTGCAATATTGGTTTCATGTACTTTTTGATATTAAAGGCAACTAGGTGGAGAAGTCCAGTAGAAGACCTTCATAAGGAGAAGTTGTAACCAGGACCCTTTTACTGCCTTTTGCAATATTCTGCAAGAGCAAGGGTAACAAATGAATACACAACAGTATCCCTTCAAGAGGATGGAGTACATATTTTTTAGCACTTTGCTCCCACCAAAGGAAAATAAGGGAGATAGAGCAACCAAACACAGCAGATAAACAGCTTAAAACCTTTTAAAAGCTCCAATTTCACATTAGTTAACATTAAAACCTCATAATATAATACTTTTATATACCAACTGGTGAGTTTATTATAGTTAATGTCCCAGGTTATAGTGTTTGAAGTTTATGTTAATTCAAGGCAGTTCATCCCATTTTGTATCAATCAGGCATGAAATAACCCACATTTTATATTGGGAAATGTTCCTAAAATCCAGAGATGGGTGAACTGCATATAGTCCTTAGGCCTGTGAGAGCATGTGTGGGCTTGGCTGCAGGTGCTCTAAGCAGCCGAGGTCTGTGAGCTACCGGAGAACACGCGCGATGTTGGGATCAGCCCCGTGCTGGAAGCCCCCCAGCGACCCACTCCCTGGGTGGGTGATCTATCGGTCCCTCCAGCTCTCAGACATGGTGAGCCATGGATTCTCAGCCGTCCACTGAACTGCTGGAGCGCTTCTGCCTGTGTCTTTCCCATCACGAGATGAAGAATGTATGTCTTTACTGATTTGGCAGATATTTAGTGTGCAATGTTTCACTTTGTGTAAGGATGTTCGTACGACAGTAGCTAATCTGCCCACAGCCCCAAACAACATGAGTTCATCTGTGAGGGGTTCACAGCTTAGTGGGAGAGACGCATATAAGCACATAATAAAACGGATGGAGCGGTCTCTGGGATGGAGTTAAGTGATGGGCTCTGGAAGGGCAGGGGCCATGGATTCTGCAGGACAAGGAGGGGTCACAATAGACCACATGTGTTCAGTGGGAGCCACACAACTGCAGTATGGCTCAAGTACATCGTCTGCATGGAGAAATGGTGACACAGTGAGAGTTCAAAGGCCTCGTGTCAGAACTGAAATGATCACTGGAAGGTAGTAACAAGGAAGGTCATGACAGATGAAGCCTGTTTTAGGACAATTGCTCTAGCAACAACGTGGGTTGTGGGGAGGTTAGGACCAAAGCGGAAGGACACACTGATCCATCTTTCCTTAGCAAGCTTTTACAATATTATTATTAATCATAAATAATTCTTTCCAAAGCCCCATGCTGCTTAGCTCTATGAAAGAGATTCTTAAAAGAAAGGCCTTGGAGCTCAAATTTCAATACCTGCATGCCAACCAGCCCAAGCTCACCCGGGTGGGTGTAAGTTACCACCACAGGAAACCACAGGCATGGGCTGAATCATTCAGGGGATCTGAGATGACAAAAGTCAGTTGCCTCGAGCATTCACAACAGCAATGGCTTGGTATTTATTCAGGTACTTCATCGTCTACTGCATCAAACCACAGGCTAGGAAGCACAGTAGTACTGTAATTAAGAACTCAGGGTTTGGAGTCAAACAATTCTAGTTTTTAATCCTGTTCTTACTAGCTGTATGACAATGGACAAGTCACTTAACCTCTTTGATGCACATTACTCTTTGTAAAATGGAAATAAACTGATACCTATCTCATAGAATATTATAAAAATCAATGTGTTAGTATGTGCAAAATTCTTAAGTTTCTGATTTATTATAGTAAGTATTAAGTAATAAGTACTACAATATTTATAATGAGTACCTAATAAATGATGAAATGATTACTATGATGATGGTGGTGACGAAGAGGTCAAAATCTACCAGTAAAACTTCTGCAGCCGGAGCTAAGGGACAGAAAGGAAAATCAAACAAACAAATACACACATATGCCCAGAAAGAAATGTGGTAGCCAAAGATCACTTCTATCCATTCAGAATATATCTGCAGAAAAGGACAAGTTTAAGCTAGCCTCTGTGTGATACATTTTAGCTTATTTGTAAAGGCGGTGTTGGATAGAAGTACCACAACTTTGCAGTAAATTCTACTTTGTGCAGACAGACTGGAAGAATGGCTTGTTAGCAGCTATAAGAAGTAATGAAAACGTCACAGGATCCCAGAATGTTGGGTATAAAGACAATTCTCTTTACATCTAAACATATTTCAAAAGCACCAGACAATTCAAGATTAATGGAATATTGAGAAAATTTTCTTAATAACAAGAAAGATTATTCCTAATTAGTCTGTTTTTTTTAATTTTGACTTGTGAGTACTTAACATGAGATACTCACAGAAGGCAAAATACAGAAAAAGGGTGGCTTCAATATTCAAACTAATCACTGACATCTCATTAGGAAAGACAATATTCTAAATATGGATTTAATATTCCAACACTAATGTTCCACAATTACTAAAATATGTGGGCAAGCTTTGGGTAAGAAAAAAGCTTACCTGCTTTCTTGGATGTCACTGTCCACACAAAATAGTCTCCTTACTTGAAGGCATTTTGCACTTTTTGTTTCAGTACCAAGCTACCTTTTTGTCCTAAGGAAACTCACTGACTCACTCTACCTAAATAATACTTGGCAGTTTTCAGTCTCCAAACTTTGCACTCAGTGTTTTGCGTCCCCTGAACTCTCTTGCATCCACATTCCGTACCTTCATGTGACCACCGCCAGCCATTTCAGGAGATCCAGTGATGGGTGGGCAGGGACAGGGATGCATGAGGGGCAGTGACTGTCCTCACTGGGCTTATAATTCAGAGCAGGGGCAAGCTAAGCTCGCCAACAGAAAATTTCAATATAATGTGAAAAAACTAAGATACGTATCTGTTTGCGGGCTCGGGGGCCATGTAAAGGGGTACATGGCTGTGCTCCAGCTGAGTCATAAAATAACTCCACTAGAGGACGTAATGCCTGAGCTGAGCCTTGAAGATAAGAAGTTGGCCCAAAAAGGCAGTGGGAGAATTACAAGCAGGAAGGATGCCGGCAATGACACAGAAGTAAGAAACAGTCTGCAGCCGAGAAGTGCAGCAGCTACAACAGTCCTAGAACACCCACACACCATTCACTAAAGACCTGAACATCAGTTTAGAAATGGAATTTATTGGGGCACCTGCGTGGTGCAGTCAGTTAAGCGTCTGCCTTCGGCTCAGGTCATGATCAGGGGGTCCTGGGATCGAGCCCCACATCGGGCTCCTTCCTCAGCGGTGAGTCTGCTTCTCCCTCTGCCACTCCCCCTGCTTGTGTTCTTCTCCTTCTTGAATAAATAAATAAAATATTAAATAAAAAAAAAAAAGAAATGGAATTTATTCTTGACCCCACAGGACCCTTGATGACTTAAACAGGAGAATAACATGTTCAGACATGTACCTGGAAGATGGATTTGAGAGAGGCAAGCTTGGAGAAATGGTGGTCAATGAGGGATAAAAGGTAGATAACAACAAACAGGGTTCTAGAGGGGAGGGGGTGGGAGGATGGGTTAGCCTGGTGGTGGGTATTGAGGAGGGCACGTTCTGCATGGAGCACTGGGTGTTATGCGCAAACAATGAATCATGGAACACTTCATCTAAAACTAATGATGTAATGTATGGGGATTAATATAAGAATAAAAAAAGGTAGATAACAGATGATGAAGGCAGAATGCGGGATGTCAAAGAAGCAAGGTCACTGGTGGACGTGCAGGAGGCTGGAGGAGTCAGAAGGGCCAGTTTAGCATGTGGTGGGGGTTCCCTCCGTCTGGAATGCCAAGGGCCCCGATCATCAGGAAACCAGTCCCGATGCCCTGGTATTAAGAGGTAATGGGTAGCTCAGCAGAAGCCGAGAGTGTAGATAAGAAACAACAATACTGCTCTTACTTCATCCATGACTTAACCTCTTCCCGCTGCCCACTCAGCAAGGGATGGCCCACTGCATCTCTCTCACTGAGACAAAAGTGAAGGCAAGCCAGGACCAAATACACACGCTTCCCGTCTTTGTATGAAGTGATGTGTTTGTGTGTTAGACTGACATTAGCTTTATATACATATTTCCTACTCTCTCTGTTTATTGACGTTGCCGTGTTCAGCCAGGGGTGTGACAGAGCCCCCCGGTCGCCCAGATCATCCATAGTTAACGCGGGCATCCACCCTCAGGCAGCACCGGGGTTAACAAAACTGACACACTCACACAGATGCACAGCTTTGGGAAGCCTGATAGGGAGCTATCTCCAACCATTATATACCAAATTATTTATCTTCTATCGGGCCATGTTGCCAGAGGAAGGACAGTTCCAGGTCCACAATCCTCTGTGTGGCCACAGTGATAAAGATCTGCAGAGATCAGGGATCAACATGGTGAACACGGCAGATCAACGGAGGTATCAGAGGTATCATTGTGATATAACAATATATTGTTCTCTTATTTTAGTGACTGGAATTTGGAATTTTTACTATTACCCTAGACTATCACCTTAAATTGGTCAAGTCTGGAGTTGTCTTGATAAAACCTAAAACTGGATGTGGGGGTGGGGAGATGAAGGCCACCACCGGAGGAGATGTATAATAATAAGCACAATTCTGGTCACACTGACTGCTGAGTTCGGTGTCTGGAAACTGAAGTCCCCTGTGCCCTAGGAGTGAGAGCCACAGCCGACGGTGACCAGGAGGACTCCAGAGAGCAGCCCGGCGGAGCACTGAGACTGAGAGCAGCGTGAGAGCAGGGATTGGTCTCTGTCGTTACGATACCCCCTGGGCCTAAAATGGGGTTGGCAGCTGGGAGGAGCTCCATAAATGTTGGCTATTAAAATGAAATTCAAGGGGCAGTTAGAGATGGATCTGAGAAGAAATACTCCGAGAAGTATCATGAGCATAAATGTCAAATCAGCCCAGAGTACAGAAATTTCCAGAAAAAGAAGGAAACCTTTCCTGAATACTCCTGCCCACGGTGATGGGCCATCTGTTTATGATCCTGATACATCTCTCCCTGTCCCAACTCACACAGGAGGCTTTAGGTCAGTTCAGCATATAGATTCAGTTTTTAAATGCTGGGCTTTTCTGGATGTATGGCAATGCCCAGGGCTTCTTTCCAGCTTCTCGTTCTTGTGATCTTGAGGAAGCCTGTAAACATGCTGAGTAATTGACCTTCTCTAGAAATGGAGAACACATGCGCCCTTACCATGCCTCATCACTGACTGAACCCCATCTCCAATACTTGGAATCTAACGATTCTTCGACACCTTCTCGCCAATAGCTTGCCTGCGCTGAATTCCCTGCCCTGGGTGCTGCTTCTATGTTCTGACCATTCTAGGAACACTATGTTGTGTAATGTAGAGCTGAGGGCTTGCTCAAAGTGAGAGAGACCATTCTGAACCCCCGTTGTTGATGGCAGCAAATGCGCCAAGTCTCCCAGCACTGGGGTGGGTCCCGGCCTCTCCATCCCTACATGGTTTGAATCACTGCTATGTCACAGGGTTTAATTTTTTATTCTACCCAGCAGCATTGTACTTTATACAATCCCTATTTCAAAACGAATCCTATTATATTTAAAATAGCGTTTCCAAAGAAACCTTATAAAGGCTATTAAAATTATTTACAGATTACATTACTAAAATATTGTCATAGTCAAATGTATGAATTAGGACATGGGATGCTAACGCAGTGAGTCTGAATTATCTCTACATGAAGGCATCCTGATGTCATTTTTGGCATTTACCCTTTGTCCTATACAAATAGTCCTGTATCATGAGGAAGATCAGAGTACACAGAAAAACTGTCATGAAGTTCTATAATGTTTGTCATTTACAAAAAGCACATGTCTATACACACACACACACACACACACACACACACAGATATGTACATACCCACACACATCTTTTATCCTGCTTAAATTACTAGGTAGGTAGGTATGTTTGTATCTACCTATCCATACATACATGTATCATTTTAAAACTAAAGAAAGGATTGGTGCTAAGGGAACATCACGAGTGTGACTTCCTACTGCTTTCAGGGAGAGGACCAGCTGTGAGCAAGTGGAATAATCCGCAGCTGCTGGATACAGCTTCCAAGTGCCTGAAGCAGCCCCCTCTCTGAAACCCCTCACTGTTACCAGCACGTAGCCGGAATGACACTGCACTGAGGTCATCATTTACCTTCTCGGTCCTGAGGAAACAGGACCCAGTCAGGTGTGTTTTGCTGGGTTTTGAAAAGGTCTGGGCATGCAATACTACCTACCGACCCCTGGGACAGTTGGGACACAGACGACAAACAAGGCCAGTCAGGAGAAGCTGAGGAGAGAAAACCGAAGCCTGGGTACTCAGAGGGAGGCCTGGGCCACACGAGGATGGGAGACTGCACCAGGGGCCAAACACCCTCCAGCTCTGCAGCTCGCGCACAGCCAATCCTGCTGGAGTTGCTGCCGGGCTTTCTCACACAGCCCCGCGGAGCCCAGGTCGTTCCTTAGAGGCATCTGTGGAAGACCTAATGGGACTTCTCTTCCTACACTGGTGCTGATGACAAGAAGAAACACAGAGTCCACTTCTCTGAAGTCAAAGCACATTTAAGAAATTGTCTAGGAAAGGAATCAAACCATCATGAAGTAGTAGCTACCTTGTGAAGGTGAATTTGAGGACGAACATTTAAAGTGAAGACAGAACATAAGGAATAGCATAGAGGACATTAGGAGAAGGAAGGGAAAAATGAATGGGGGGAAATTGGAAGGAGAGACAAACCATGAGAGACTGTGGACTCTGAGAAACAAAGTAAGGGTTCTAGAGGAGAGGGGGGTGGTGGGATGGGTTAGCCTGGTGATGGGTATTAAAGAGGGCATGTTCTGCATGGAGCACTGGGTGTTATACGTAAACAATGAATCGTGGATCACTACATCAAAAACTAATGATGTAATGTATGGTGATTAACATAACATAATAAAATATAATTAAAAAAATAAAGTGAAGACAGAGCATATATATCAGACAGTGAGGTGAGGTCTGCCCTTGTCTAGATCAAGCACCAAGAACATCTTAAAAACAATATAATAAAAAACAGAACAAACACAAGAGAACTAAAAGGACTTTAGTGCACTTAAAACCTTGATTTGCCTAACTCTCAAGATTTATTGTTCAATACGTTTGGGTTTAAGAATATGATAATCCATATAAATAAATTTAATATGTGAAACAAACTTTGCCTTAGAGTATCATGTACTTAAATCAAAGGAAAAAAAAAATATATATATATTCAAAATCTTCACCAAGGAGTCATCATCCAAAAAGCCCACGACTATCTAACGATGACTGTACCTACAATGTTCTACAATAAAATGTAGCTGCTGTTGTTAGGAAGCCACACCAACATCCCTCATTTATGTATCAACCATGAGAACCTCTCCAGGGCGGGGGGGGGGGGTTTGCTCACCTGGAGGATGGACACTGTCTGGGAGAAGTGATGCTGCTCCATGGTAGAAGTGGAATAGAGAGCTGCCAGAGGGTGATCGAATTTCTGCAGGTAGCTGTTACTGAAACCCCTGTGGTCCAGGTCATGACACAGACACGCGATTAGCAGTCCTTTGCGCTTCAAAAAAAATAACACAGTGCACGGATGTTCAAAACAAAGCAATGGATGTGAAGAGAGTCACAGCTCATCACTCCTCTCATATGCATAGGCTCCTGCCCCTGCAACAGCCCACATCCTTAGGAATCTCTGATATTTCAGATAATCTAGCTCCTTTTTTTAAACATCTTTCTTTGTGTTTTTCTGCTTACGAACTTGACTGAATTATTCTTGAGTTTTCTGGTTCAACTCTGGGGAAAAGTGTAGGTGGTATCAAAAAATGCAAATGTTCCCAAGAATTACAGATAAAGCTAATCTGCACAAGGAGAGTGCTTCATTCAAAAATCCACTCAATGTTAAATTTCAAAAATGCTATTGCTACTATAGATAAAGAATATAACAGGCAAATCATATAGCATGTGACAAAATGGCAAATTGTACAGAGAAAGAGAAAAGGCAGAGCAGGCGGAAGCAGGCAAAGTGTTAAAGCAAGCAAGGTGGGCCACGGAGAGTCCACGTGAGCAGGCCGGAAGGTGAAGGAGAGAAGCAGGAGACTTGGGCGGCGGGGGGGGGCGGGGCGGGGCGAAGAGGCAGTGTTAGCTCATGCAGGTGAGCCTGCCCCAACCAGCAGGGTGTCAGGGGGTGGCGGGGGCTGTGGATGGGCAAAAATGCCAGAAAGGGGAGCTGACGATCTTCTTCGAGGCCTTATTTTCTGTGGGAACCAGGGAAGGACTACAGGGTTTTAGCAGAGCACTGATATCATCTAACTTACATTTTTTAGAAGATTACCATGCGGGCAATTGTACTGAGAACAGACTCTAGGAGGGGAAGAGAGACTGGTGAGGAGGCTTTTGTCATAATTCAGGCAAAAGCTTAGACCAGAGGCAGCACTGGGGGCTCAGAAGACATGATGAAATCTGGCTGAGTTTTACAGGCAGGGTCAACAGGATTTTCTGACAGTCTGGGTGTGAGCCAAAGGGAAAGCAAGGAGGGGAGGGAAGGGAAGACAGGACTCAAGCACGACTGCAAGGTGCTTCGCCTTGGAAAGTGTAGGACTGTCATCAACCGGCATACGGACAGTTGCAGGTGAAGGAGGTTGGAAGAAAAGGGTCAGGAGTTCAGTTTTAGATTGAGGGGTTCAGGGGAGATTTTGAGCTGATGGTTGTCTATTTTAGTTTAACCTTCTGGGGGGGGGAGGTCTCTGCTAGAGAAAGAGAAGTGTCCGTGTATATGGCATTTTGGGCCACAAGACTGGCTGAGCCCACCACAGTTGCTGTTTGAGGTCAGAGGAGGCCAAAGGTCTGAGCCCTCAAGTATTCCACCTTCAAGAAGTCTGAGGGAAGAGAAATAGCAAAAAAACCCCAAAGCAACCCCCAAACCTGTGTGACCAGAGAAACCAAGAGTGCTAGTGTTGGGTGTCCTGGAGCCACGTGGAGACAGTGACTCAAAGATCTGAAACGCAAGCACTGACCCTCAGTGGGCAAGGCGCAGGGCACTGTGGGTGACCCAACCCAGGGCATTCTCCGGGGGTGGGGCAGAAGCCTGATCCAAGCTGGTTTCAGAGAAAAAGGGAGGAGCGGAATTGGAGCCAGCCAGTGGGGCAGCTCTTCTGTGTGTTTGTGGCAAGGGGAGGGCTGAGAAGTCAGGAGAGAGCTGAGTGCAGAGGCAGATCAACGGGTTGTGTTATGATGGAGGGAACAACAGGGCGCTCCATGCAGACACGACCTTCCAGCAGAGAACATGCTGATGGAGGAGAGGGAGGGGAGAACTACTAGGGCAGGTCCTCTGAGGGGTGGAGGCAGTGCACAAGGTCAAGTGGAGAGACCGGCTCTGGAGAGGAACCTAGTGAATGTTCTGGCGTGTGTGAAGTCAGAGCCCACAGGGGGAGATGCTCACAGGCAGGACGGGGTCTGCAGAAACCCTACAAGTTTAACTGGATGCCTCTGCCCTGCTCCTTTCTGATCCTCACTGAGCAGAACTCGTTTCTCCTGCAAACCTATTGGGCAGGGAGGCCTCCCCAGACCCCAGACTACCAGCACCCATCAACTGCTGGTGTTTGCATGGGAGCTGTCCTGCAGGCTCAGTGGTCTGAGGATAACTGAATTAGTTATGTTCTGAGTATTATTTTGGTTTGGGGTTATTCCCATATTTTCTGCTGTTATGTCAACCGTGATAAATCTGGTAAGAAATTTCAAGGTTTTAAAATCTTGCACAATAGGTAAAAGCTATTATGTACACCTTTCCAATCTTTTTTACCTATTTGATTTTTATTTGACATAATGTTCAATTGTTTTATTAAAATTATGCCAGAATCAAGCATGTGAAAATAATTTACGAAGTGAAGAAATTATCTTTGTTAATATATTACTTTAGCAAGATCAAATGATAATTTCTTTCTTTCAAAAAAATATTTTATTCATTTATTTGAAAGAGAGAGAGAGAGTGCGCGCACGAGGGGGTCAGTGGCACAGGGAGAGGGAGAAGCAGACTCCCCGCTGAGCAGGGAGCCCAATGCGCGGCTTGATCCCAGGACCCTGAGATCATGACCTGAGCCGAGGGCAGACACTTAACCACCTGAGCCCCCCAGGTGCCCCTCAAATGATAATTTCTAATAGTTTTATCAGAGATTAAATATCCCTTTTAAAAAATGTATTTTAAATTTTCACACATATTATTTTGGGATTATTTTTAGCCAAAAGGACCTGAGCTTTTGTGAAAACATCATGATATAATTCTAAAGATGAATTAGGCACTTAAATGAGAGTTAATTTGTAACTGCAAATTTTTCTCACTTATCTTAAAATTTTCCATTTTTGAATGTTTTTTCTTGCCATGCACCTTCTGAGTTTCCTGCCCAGATTGTGAATTTGGTCTAATGGGATGGAAGAGGCACAGGACTGGCCCTGAGGCACGCTGGGTTCTAGTGCAAATGTTGCCCTTGAGAGAAGCACAAGTTCCTCATCTCCGTGATGAGGAAGCCCCTTCTCTGCACGGTCAACATGTCCTCTGAAGCAGGATACCAGTTTTATGGAGGAGAAGAGAGGGGATTCATCGCTGGGACCGTGTGGGGGCGAGAACACGCTGGCGGTGGGCATCACTGAGTGCTGAGCTAGACAGCGGTGCACGGATGGACTAGGCAGCCCCAAATCTCTGAGTGTGTCACCAGCTCTGGGCATGTCAAGTCAGGTCAGTCAGGTAAGCCTCACAGAGCCCACCTCCTCATGGGACAAGAGACCACATACACATTTGTGTCTTAACTGTATTTAATGATTCAATGCTCTGGGTTCTCAAATCAGTAGGGTATGTCTACATTACCCAGGGCACAGAGCAAGGAGAAAAGCAGACTCTGTTTACCTAACAAAGACTCTCAGAAGACCTAAGCTTTCACAGGGAAAAGAGACCATTAAACTAGTGTTCCCTGGGGGGAATATTTTGGTGAAGTTGGAATTTCTGTATCGACATTCCTTATACAGAATAACATGACAAATAACGGGCACAGCAACTTTAAAAGTGTGCTTCTACTAAATTACTGACCTGTCGTAGAATCACACGTCACATATCCATACCGGGAAGGTGCTCTAGACACAGAGTATTTAAATCCACTCTGGTTATTTGAAATGGACAAAAAAAAAAGCGTGTGCACACGCACCTCAAGGTCGGTGAAGAGCCCGTGGTTGTTCTGGAGAATGGCGTACATGCAGTGAGCCACAGTGACAGCGTGTTTCCAGTTGTGATAAGGAACCCGCCGATAGTTTTTCTTCACAGACATAATAAAACGACACAACTTTTCAAGCTCAAAGCTGTGTGGAAAAGAAAGTGTTAGGACAGAAACTGGTACAGAATCAATACGTTCTAGCTAGAACTCTGGTTTAAACACGTATGTCTGTACCCACACAGACGTGCACAGTGACGGAGTCCGGGGGCGCTGGGTCTCACTCACCACTTCCCTTCTAGTCCTCCAGCCAGTTAAGAGAGGAAGGCTCCTGCAGAGCTTCAGATCTGATACATTAACTGGCCTCGCAGGGGCACACACCAGAATCAGCAGGCAGCTGCCTGTCATTAACTCCATTACCGTCCTCACCTTCCAAGCATTTCCCACATCCCACCTTGCTTCAACGGACAACAACATTTCATCACCCTGTTCAAGGGCGTTTTGAGCTCATATCTTCCAAAAAGCACAATGAGATTCATGAGCTGCAAATATGTATACCATGAGAATTTCCTGGATGAGAGACTATCCTTTCAAAATGGATCTGAAGTACTATGGCACACTCAAATTATTAAGTGGCAAATGGCCATACCAAAATCCTGACACAGTAAATAAAGAAGTGTGACATGTTTTTATTATGAAACATTGCTATTATGTTTTATTTTTATATTATCATGTATTTCTACTCATTTAAGGCCTCAGCAACTCCCTTGGGGAATTTAAGGCTGCTTAAAACAAAAGTACATCAATATAAAACAGGGCTCTTTGAAATACCAAGGTGATGAGAGCTCATAAAACTTCTAAAGATATATAACCTTTTTTTCCCCACTGAAAATTTTCAAATGTCCTTGAAATATAAGGTATGTCATTTTAAGAGTTCCAACTGGTAAAACTCTCAACTGACATCTAAGAAATAAGTGGAGTTAATTATCCCGTGTACATCCTTTCAAAAGAGCGATTTATAAAAGTCACGGATAGAAGTAAGAGAAGACAGAGAATTCAATAGCAAAGGAACGACAATTTAGTTTCAGAGCAATTAAGAGCCCTATAAGCCATTTAATGATTAAATGAGTGAAAAAGAGAAAAAGAAAACTATTCCTTGCATTTTCAGTATGTATGCTGAAGCTGTAAAAGGTTAAGTGGAAAGTCCTAAAAGGCCCCTAGGGCAGGCCACGGGAGAGGGGAAGGGAGCCACAGTGGAGTTGCTAGGAAGGCACTCGGCGCAGAATTAGGAGACCTGTTTCCTTCACAGCTGTCCTAACAGAAACATAATGTAGGCTGAAAGCTGATGCTAAATTCAGTGCATGTTTTCCAAAACACACTTTCAAACAGTATGTAATTATGTGGAGCAGTAACCCCTACCTCTTCCCATTACACAGCCTAAGGTAATTTTCACTTGTGTTTTTACCATCACTTGGTAGACACGTGGCTGTTCGCCAAGGGACAGCCACCCTGGCGAAGAGCTCGGCAGGCTGGAAAGGAAATCCAAGAAGGCTATCAATCTGTCTAATAATCTCAGCCTTTTTTTATTTAAATATTTTGAAAAAAATTATTTATATATGGCATATTTTCAGATAATTATCAACCAAGGAAGTGACAAGGCATTTAGGCAGGGGGAAGAAGAGGTCATATCACTCAACAGCTTCAGAAGGAAGTTTTTAGGTCATTCATACCAGGATGTCCCACAGGACCGATGGACCATGTAGACAAAGATTCCAGGCCACATGTTTTCAAAAGGACCAATGTCAAAGTGGAATCTGAAATGAAAAGAAGACGAGGTTGATTAATAAATATAATCAGGATAAACATAAAAACAAATAAAGAAAGTCATTTAACTTTTTGTCGATTAAGAAACTAAAATAACACTGGGAGTTCAGCCATCCCTTTCCCTGTCTTCTCAGTCACATCTTTGTTGTATTTAAATGTTTCCAGGAGGAAATTCCACACATTCCCTTAGGAACTTAGCCCAATATTTAAGTCATTGCTTAATTTTCTATTAAACAATCCGTAAAAAATGATGTTGCGGTTGTTATCAGAGCAATAAGAGTACAAAATAATTTTATTACAAATACTACACATTTTACACAACTCATAGACCGGGGCGGTGGGGGTGGGGGGGGGAGCGGAGACACAGAATCTCCTATTTAAGTCCAGAGGAAAAACTTCATAAAGACAAACATCCAAAATTATTACCTATTTTTCATTTGCTAATTTAATTACTAACATTTAACCCAAATAAACACAATGGTAAAATATGAAAAGAATCCATGTTCCTCTAGTTATACTTCTGACACCAAATGTGTGAGTTTTCCACACCAAGCAATTCTCCAACCCTCTGCAGACACCAACTGATGTCCTACAGTTCAATTTACTTCTGACACTACCTGCAGCCAGTGCAGACCACACAGGTTAAGGGCTCAGTCTCACGAGACTGCTCCCCCCGCCCCCCAACTTTAGATGCCAATTGCAAGTCCTGGCCACCCATGCTTCTGACCACGGGCTATAAATCAGAGGTTTCCACAAACCCCACCTCAGGGTTTATAATGCCCTGGAATAGCTCACAGAACTCAGGGAAACACTTTACTTACTACTGCCAGTTTATTATTAGGGATACAACTCAAGAGGCACATGGAAGCGATGCATAGGGCAGGCCATGTGGGAAGAAGGATTGAGGAGATCCCATGCCTCTGTAGGGTGCACCACCTTCCCAGCACTGAATGTGTTCACCAACCTAAAAGCTCTCTGAACCCCTTGTTCAGGGTTTTTGGAGGTTCCACTGCATAGGAGCATTTGATTAAATCATTGGTCACTGGTGATTAACTCAACGCCCAGTCCCTGTCCCCTCCCAGGAGGTCTGAGGGTGGCTGAAAATTACAATCCCCAAACCACTTGGTTGGTTCCTTGGGCAACCAGCCCCCTTCCTCCTACAGTCCTTCAATAGCAAAAACTCAAGTGTGGTTGAAAGAGGTTCATGATGAATCACTCAGGAAACTCAAGGGTTTTAGGAGCTGTGAGCCAGAAACTAGCCACAAAGACCAAATACATATATTTCTTATTATATCACAATATGTACTATATATGAACCATTCAAAGATAAACTGAAGCAAAACAAAAAGTCATTTGAATAGGGCAGTACCAAGCCATTAGTGTTTAGGAGCGGTCTGCTGAAGGAGCCGGCAGAGACCCCTGCACAGAGACAGGGCAAGAGCACAGATGGGCAATCGCTGACCGACCCGTGGCTTCCAGGCCAGCTGCACTCATTATTACTAAATCCTAAAATTCAGTCTGTAAATTTAAGAGTATATGGAAATGAAAACTTTCAGACCTCGGATATCCAATGCCATCTTCAGCATTTAGTGCCATACATACGGGGTAAAGCAGGCAGAAGACTAATGAGGAAAGCTAACATTTAACTCATTTCAAAGTGGCGTCGAGATTTTTTTTCCTAACAATAAAGAGATGTGGCCTTCCTGTCCATGATCTCTCATGAGATGTGGCGTCACCTGAGAAGGGACAATGGCAACAACGGAACCACACGTGTGATACGGTGTTTGCAATTCTACTTCGGTACCCATGTCACTTTAGGCTGAATCAAATGAAAAATCCGTTCCTGCAGAAACAGGACAAGATTCTCACAATTCAATTTCTTTGCAGAGGCGCACGGGGAGGTTGAAGCGCATGAGGCTCTGCCACTCCTCTGCCGTACAGATGCTATGGTAGGAAAGCTTCTCCATAGTCACCCGGTAAATGCACTCGGAATGACGGATTCGGTGATACATCTGGAAGGCAAATCCAAAAAAAAAAAGTAAAGCGAAATGAGTGTTTAAAGTAGTTACGTCACTGAGAATCAGAACTGGAACTGAAACCACTGCTGATCTACTAACTGCTCGTACCATGCATTTCATATACACCGAAGATGCCCCCACTTGTGCCGTCGAAGATACAAAACACTAAGTTTACAAAAAAATTGTATTTCCGTTTTAAAAGACTTATTAACTTCTGCACCCAGACACTGTCCCTGGGTCATGAGATTCCTTGGTATTTATCCACTGGTCCCTTCTTAGACAACCAGCCTCAAAAACCGTGAGAAATCAGAGTCTGCTGTTTCTAGGCCACGCGGTCTGTTCCTGCACCCAAACACACGGAGACAGACACTCCATCAGTCAGGAGTTAAGATTTTTTCCTATGTCTCCTTTTAAAAATATTTATTTTAATTCTTGGTGATGTCAAAGTCCTTTAGTCCAGGGAGTCTCAACAATGCTTGACCGTGAAGTCCATTATCAGTGAAAGAACTCTGGAGAGGCACGCCCAATAAATGCACAGTCCTTTAGCAATTACATGCACATGCACTGTGCAGATACACTGTTTACATTAAAACAGAAGTAGAAAAAGATAAAAATACAAAGTACTTCCTTTTAATATTTTATTACTGAGCAAGACTTTTTATTCTTATTAGACAATTACATATTTTATAATGAAAGAACTAATTAAATGTATGTTATCAATTGTCAAGTGTTTTCTTCAGTGATTTGTGAGATGGTGATGTTAAGGTCTGCGTTCACTTTGATTTATTTTAATACTTAAGAGATTTTCAGTTATACTATTTGAGAAAGATATGCCAAAAAGTATGTGGATCCAAACAGAATAAAGGACTAGCTGTCCTTAAACATCACACTTATATAAGGTTTTGTTCCCTAGCCACTAATATTTTTGGCTTAAAATCACATAATTTTCCATTTCCCCTGATGCCAATCAGTTAATCCTGCAAATGAATTAGCTGCATCTTTATATATTATCCACCAGGTTCAAAACCAATGAAACTTAATGAAACTCTTCATGGGGAAGATTTTAGTAAGTTAAAAGCTGCTTCATAAAGTCAAGTCATAAAAAAAAATTCCATTTTAAAGGAAGAAAGAGGTAAAAGGGAATAAAGAACAATGGAACAAACAGAAAACAACAAGATGGTGGATTTATACTTAAACATAAAATGTGATAGTAGAAATATCCTGGTTAAAAAGCAAAGACTGCCAGACTGAATAAAAAAGGAAGACCCAGCTTATGCTGTTTACAAGAATCCTACTTCAAAAATAAAGACCTAAATAAGGTAAAATGATGGAAAGGATATACAATATAACACCAGTCAAAAGAAAGCTGGAGTGGCTTAATATCAGATATAGTGTATTTCAGAGCAAAGACTATTATCGGGGATAAAGAAGGATTATTTCAAATGATAACGGGGTCCATACGTCAAGAGGACATAATGTTCTTAAACATCAGTTGGTTTTCAACAGGTGTGCAGAGGCAAGATGGTGGAGAAAGGACAGCAAATGTAACAAACTGTGCTGGACCAACTGGACACTCACATGCAAATAAATAAATGCAAGATGACCCTTACCTTTAACCATATGCAAAAATGTACTCAAAATGGATCACAGACCTAAATGTAAAACCTAAACTTCTAGAAGAAAACATAGGAGAAAATCTTTGTGACCTTGGGTTAGGCAAATATGTCTTTGGTAAAATGCTAACAGCATGATCATAAAAAGGAAAAAAAAAACCAAGTAAGTTGGACTTCTTCAAGATTAATAACTGCTCTTAGAAAGAAACTGTTGAGAATGACAGGACAAGCCAAACACTGGGAGCAAATATTTGCAAATAACTTATCAGATAAATGCCTCATAGCCACTCCATGTCTAGGTATTTATACTCAATGGAAAGGAAAGCATACACCGTACAAAGACTTGTGCATAGATGCTCACTGCAGCTTTATTTGTGATAGCTAAAACCTAGAAATAACTCAAATGCCCATCAATAGGTGACTAAATCGTTTATAGTATATCCATTTGATGGAATATTCAGTAATAAAAAGGAATGAACTATTTATACATGCGATGCCACGGATGAATCTCAAAATAATAATGCTGAGTGAAAGAACCCAGACAAAAAGGAATACAGATTTTTATGATTCCATTTACATAAAATAATTCTAGAAAATGCAAAGTAATTTATTATGGTGACAAAAAGCAGATCAGTGGTTCCCTGAAACTGGGGGTAAAGATGGGGAGGGTCATGAGGGAGGGTTTTGAGGGGCACCCAGAAACCCGTGACGCAGTGGACGCATCATGTCTTGATGGAGTGATGGCTTCCTTGGGCTGTGTGTACATGCACTTGTCAACACTCTGGACACACACAGTGTACCACGTATTCATAAACCCCAGGAAAGTTGCTGAGCCATGTTCTGCTCCTGGTCTCTGTAAAGGCCTGTGATAATGTGTATATGGGAGTCACAAGATAACGGGACAGTGACAAGGAGAATACTCTTAGACCTCTGTTTTCCACGTGCACTCTTCAAGAACAGGACGGGTTTATTTGGAAAAGCAGCTGATTTCTTATTCAGTGTGAATGTCACTTGAGATTTCAAAGTCAGATTAAATACTGCTTATTTGAATATATCTTCCAAATCATTAAATATTGATTGTACTTTGTCATCAGAAAAGATCGGCACACTTGGAATATTTTTTTGTGAAGGATGAAATGTGCAATAATGTATGAATTCAACCACCATTCCAAGTACTTTGTCACAAGCAGCAAATGCATGGACAGCACAATGGAAACAGGGGTCCGTTTCAAAGCTACCTTCGTAACTGTGAATCGTGTGCGCCAACTGGTACACAAGCCTCCTTCTCATACAGTTGAAGAACAACCTGGATCAGGTTAAAAATGTAAAGATAGAATTCCTGTTAACTTGTTCATGACTTTTCAGGGGTGTTATTTTTCTTGTTTAAATTTGGGTTTAGTTTGGTATAAACATCGAGTCATGTTTGCATCCAGGTTTTGTGATGCAGCACTCAGCGGGTTAGAAGAGCTTTGGACCCGCGGAGCCAGATCCTCTAACGATACAGCCGAGTTAACTCGAGTGTCAACACTGACAGGGATGCATTCTTCAAGAAACACATGGAAACCTGTAAAGATTTTAAGAGGACCGATTTCTACCTCCTTAACTTTCACACCTACTCTGACCTAAAAAATGACTTTTGTCCACCTCCCATTTCAGAATAACCCCTTCCTCAAATTGCTCTAATATAAAAACCTCTTGAAACAAAGGGAAATATAAAATATGGTATTAATGAGGTCTAATAGTGGTTTCTAAAGTTTTCATAAAATATTGAAGGTGGTGAAACTAAATAAATTTTCAGCTGATAGATCATTTAAAATAACTTTTGATGGTAGAGTTATCAGTACTTTTTGGCATCTTAGCTCAGGTGGAGTTTGAATTAAGAGAGATTGCTATAATAAAATTCTTTCTGCTATTTACTCATTAATGAAAGCAATTCTTAGGGCTTCCTCAAAACTTTCTCAATGAGTAGGAATAACACTGTTGCTGAATAGTGGGGATCCAGTTCCTCAATGTCAAAGAACAAAGTTCCAAAGATGGAAAGGAGATGGCCAGAAGGAGTTCTGCAGTGCGAGACGGGGGGTGTCTGTATATCTCTCTGGGAGACAGAGAAGAGAATATGGCAGAGGCTTACGTACAAACTCTCTTCCAAAATAGTGAGAAAAAGATGGAAAGTGCTTCAGAGGAGAAATCTGGCAGACACAACCTTAACCAAGTGATGAAGCTAACATCACCAGTGAAAGGATGTGTGCCTACTAATGGGACTCAATGGGAACACATAATTCCGCCGTATTCCTGTCAAAATTCTAACCTCAATATGATCATGCGGAAATACCAGACAAGCCCAAATTAAGAAGCATTCTACAAAATAACTGGCCTATACGCTTCAAAAGTACTCAGGTCATGCAAGGCAAAGAGTAAAGAATGGTTCCAGATTAAAGGACACCAAAGAATTCACAGTTTAGCTGAACAGTATCTGGTACCTGTTTGGGGCTGAATTGTGCTCCCTAAAATTCGTACGTTGAAACCTTAAAGCCCCAGTACCTACCTCAGAATGTGATATATTTGGACATCTGGCCTTCGAGGAAGTAATTAAGGTAAAATGAGGTCAACAGGGCGGGCCCACATTCAGTATGACAAGTGTCCTTACAAGAAAAGGAGCTTAGGACACAGACATGTGCAGAGGGAAGACCTTATGAGGACACAGGGAAACGAAGCCATCTACAGACCAAGGAGAGAAGCCTCAGACGAAACCAAACCCACTGACACCTTGGACTTCCAGTTGCCAGAACTGTGACAAAGTAACTTTCTGTTCTTTAGCACCCAGTCTGTGGGGCTGCCTGGGGCAGGTCTCACACACTAACACAGAACCAATGTGAATTTCCGGACTCTTCAGTTATGCAGCGGAGAGTAAGACAACGGATCTGTCTTTAGGAAATACAAGCTCAAGTATTTATTTAGGGGTTATGAGACATTTTGTCTAAAACCTACCCTCAAACAGGTCAGAGGAATATGACATCTATGAATCAGACAGAGAGAGAGAAGAAGGAAAGAATATCAAGGTAAAAATGGTAACGTATCAACACTGGGGAGCATGGGAATCTTTGTATTATTTTTGCAACTTTGCTTTCTGTCTGAAGTTGATTCAAAACAGAGAGTATAAAAAACTTACACTAAACTTAGTTTCATTCTAAAGTAGGTAAAATGTATGCACGGATATATTAACTGTTTTTTATTTTAAGCCACAGACATCACATTAGGATATAATAGTTTCCAATAATTTGTATTTTTTTGATAATTACTTATTAAAATTTCCTAGCATGGTTGTTTTGACCACATGCATCCTAATAATGACCTATAATACACTACCACAAGCCAAATTAATTTTCAACATTTATTATAGATGTTTTAGATTATCCTAATTAATAAAATACATTACAGGAGATCAAACTTTTGTGGGGTAATAGAAATACACATTCAGAGAGAGAAAAGAATGATACTGTAATTTCCAATCATAAGAGCCTGTTGGTGTATTCTTAAATGGACTAAACTGGCTTCAAGTAGATCCCATCGGATACACTTAAAAATCGATGAAAATCAACATTCAGGATATATTAGAATTTACATTCTCTGCAACTTTTAAACTAAACAAATGTAAGCTGTCAATATTTTTATTTATGAGAGAGAAATACAGCTACAGAAAATGTCTGAAGCAGAAAGTATCTGACAACTGCACTAATGTATTTCTGATGAACTGAGTAACAAGAAAGGTCCCCATGAGCGGGCACGTGGTGACGCAGCGGGAAGAGGGGGGTCTTCTCATGGGGCAGCACCAACCGAACTGCAAACCGTTATCCCTAGTCACCAGTGCATTACTTTTTGCCATTTTTGTTCCTAATCATCTCTCAGCTGTTTCCACTAGCTATGTGGTTGCTCTTATGGAACTTAAGGTTCTATTTCCAAAAAGGCCATTTTTCTACATTAGGAAGTGTTAACTCCCATTTATGTTGGTTTAGCTTTGAAAAAAAAGTGAGTAAAATTTTCCCTGACTTCAGAATACCAGTAATATCACTAAAGGATTCCTAGAGTTGATAGAATCCTAGATGTTTTACCAACTATCTTAAAGTGAGACTTCCTAAGACCAATGGAACTGCACGGATTATGCAGTAACCAGGGCAGCCGTGCTGTGAGGGTCCAGTGAGCAGACAGCCAGAGCGCGTCCTGGGCGGCGTTCACACGGGACGCATCACTCTCTTTCGTACAAGACTCTCAAATGCACCATATGACAAACAATGACAGTGGAGGTCACATTTTCCTTACTCATTTCAGTAGATACCATGAGACAGAAACCTTCTGTTCAAACATTTTACCTTTAAATTAACCTCATTTTTCTTTTTAACAAATTCACACCTTGAAACAAAAGCTAAACTATTAGAAGATTTTCCCCCCCCAAGCATTTGAAGACATTTCCTAAAATATGTACAACCAGGAATCACTGTTTCTGGCGTATGAAGGAAATACTGAAAAAACAAAATAAAACAACAGAACCCACCCTTTCAACTGCTTTATTTAACCAGTTTTAAAGCGGATACCGAGGACTAAGGAAGCAGTCACAGAAGCAGCACTCACATTGGCACAGTGTAAGGCTAAAGCACAGAAGACGGCAAACATCTTGAAGTTGTTTTCGTCCGTTTTCGAGAAGGCACTGCCGCTTATTTTGTTCACCATCTGCACCACGCCGATCACGCTTCCCCGGCTCACGATGGGCATGCACAGGATATTCCGGGTGGTGTAGCCTGTGTACAGGTCCACTTCCCTGCGGCCACGTGCAGGAACACAGCAGCAACACACAAACACACAGGAGAAAACGATCTCTAGCTTCTATCATAAATCTCAACTGAGTTTTGCAATTTACACGCTTCTATTACAAATACTTGTAAGGGAACTGTTGAGCTTCTGAATTCAAGGACAATGTGACATGTGAAAGGGTTTCATTAAAATCTCGTCAAAAATATTCTAACCAATCTGTTCTTTTATTTGCAAGAGAGTTTTTCAGAACAGTCTCTTGGAGGCTTTTAGCTTATCATTCGGTTTTATGTATCCACAGCATTATTAAGTAAACAGGGGCAAACTGAATGCAGAGGAAAAATATGATAAATTTGGTGAAGTAACATGTTCCTTTGAACTTGGTCATATGTTCTGAGATATGTAACTTGCAAATAAACAAACTTAAATAGGAATTATCACCTTGAGAATTTAGAGCAGGGGTCAGCACACGATAGCCTCTGGGCCAAACTAGCCCTCTCCTGTCTCGTAAACAGTTTTAATGGAAGACAAGGGCACCATTCTTGAATGGATTGTCGCCACCCTACAACACAGCTGAGGACTCGTGACAGAGACGTTACGGCCCCAAATACTTACTATCTGATCCTTAAAAGAAAATTCTGCTGACTCCTGATTTAGAGAAAATGTTTTTTGCAAACAGGACTCCGTTCCATAGACACAATCATGTACCTAAAGGCAGTTAGTGAGATGGTGGTCATTTGTGCCTGGCTTCTTGAACTGTTTTGAGATTCATCTATCCTGTAGCAGGTATCAGTGGTTCAGCCCTTTTCACTGTGGAGTGGTATTCTGGAGTATGGACAGACCACAGTTTATTTATCCATTCACCAGTTAACGGCTATTATTGTTTTGTTAACAGCCAGTTTTTTGGCAATTGTGAATAATGCTGTTTTGAAGATCTGCATACAAATTTTTGTGTGGACAGATGTTGTTTTTTTTTAATACAGGAGTGGGGCTGATTGAGTACAGTTAAGTATATGCTTAACTTTACAAGAAACTGCACACCCTTTTTCCAAAGTGGTTGTACCGTTACACACTCCCATCGGCAAAGTATGTGATTCCAAGTTTCTCCACATCCTTGCCAACACTTGCTAATGCCACTTTTTATTTTTTTTAAAGATTTATTTATCTATTTGGTGTGTGGCGGGGAGTGGCAGAGAGAGAGGGAGAGAGAGAATCCCAAGCAGACTCCACACTCAGTGAGGAGCCTGACGTGGGGCTTGATCCCATGACCCTGAGCCCACCCAGGTACCCTGCTAATGCCACTTTTTAAAAACTGTATCCATTCAAATTGTTGTGTAGTGAGATCTCATTGTCAAATTTCTGTTTCCCCCACATCAAACATCTGTTCATGTGTTTAACGGCCATTCATGTATCTTCTTCTGTGAATTGTCTATTAAAATTTTGGGTCCTATTTATTAAATTAGGTTATCTTATTATGTTGGAAGAGTTGTTTATATCCTCTGAATGTGAGTATTTTGTCAGATACATGTTTTGCAAATATTTTCTCACAATCTGTTGCTTGCCTTTTCATGTTCTTAAAAGTTGACCCATAAAATTTTTATATAACAGTTTTAAATAAGGATATATAAATATTTTCAATATTTAAGCACTAAAATAACAAGTTTGGTTTTTGGGAAAAAACCCTGAGATTTTCTGCATACTCCTGATTTACTGATAAGACGTATCAACTGGGATATAACTGTGTTTACATACATGTTGCACATATTTGACACTAATCAAATTTCTGAAAAAACTTATCGTTTATGCTATTCAATTCCTCTTAAAGTAAACCAAATGTGTGAATTAACAGAACACTACTGTCAAAATATCTGAACTATTACTCCCAGTCACAGCATCAATCTTGAGACTTTCAATTTCTAGAGATTTATTTAAATCAGATTATATAATTTGGTTCCTAGTTCTCCAAAGAAACTCAAAACAAAACAAAAAATCTTTATAAGCCATCTAATATCCAACTTTAATAATATCCAGTAAAAACAGGGCGCCTGGGTGGCTCAGATGGTTAAGCGTCTGCCTTCGGCTCAGGTCATGATCTCAGGGTCCTGGGATCGAGTCCCGCATCGGGTTCCCTGCTCAGTGCAGAGACTGCTTCTCCCTCTCCCTCTGCCACTCCCTCTGTTTGTGCTCTTCTGTCTATCTCTCTGTCAAATAAATAAATAAAATCTTTAAAAAAAAAAAATCCAGTAAAAACAGCAACTTACGGAGTTCCCACTTTGTATCAGGGAAAGTTGTCAGATCTCTTACGAGTATTTTCTCTAATCTTACCAAAACAAAAACAAACAAAACAAAAAGCACCCTATAAAACAGGCATTACTATACCATTTTAAAGATGAGGAGACCAGAAGCTCAGCGAGATTAAATAACTCACTCCAGGTCACTCTAGAACTAATAAGTGACGGAACTGAATTCACAAGGAGGTACTTTCATCAGTAGGTGTTACTGCCTTGTAGGGTACGGTCTGATGGAGAACACGCCCAGGACAGAATGATTAACACCATAATGAGAACAAAAGCAGCCTTGCAAACTTTAACTCTTCCTGTATAGATGCTTTTATAACATTTTAATGTCCTATAAGCTGGATATCATTAATGGTTTAGAGTCTATCATTTTACAAGTATCTGGAAACACTGGGTACTGGTAACAGAGTTGGTTCAAATAAAGTGTAGCACAGAGCCCAGGACGAAGGCGCTCACCGCACTGGCATGTGGGTGGGGAGCCGGGGGCTCCAGCACAGAGGCTCCAGCCAGATGGGACATGAGGGAGAGACTGACAGGGGCCTAAATGGTTTCTTACCTGTTAAAGCGTGGGTCTGCATAGGCATCTGGAATGTTCAGGACTTCCCCTGTTCTTGCTACCTGACCAGCAATTCCTTTCTCGATGGAAAATCTGTAGACATAAAAGAGAGGGACATGCCAATTAAAACACAGATGTTATAAAATAACTTGAAACATTTCATTACCACTAAGTATTAAAGAAAAGAGCATTGTTTTGTTTTAAATACTTGCATTAATTTTACATTTACATATTCGAAATCCTATTACTATATAACATGTAAAGGTAAAGCAGAGAAACACTGCACGGTAATCACTAGAGAAGCTTGGTTTAAGATATAATCCACAATATATTAAGCTATACTGGATTACAAATTGAAATTGTGAAATTAACTAGCACTCTCCTCTACTGACCAATAATAATCCTTTATATTTGCAAAGTACCTTATAATTTACAAGATGCTTCAACATAAATTCTTTAATTTTCTTCCTTCCTTCCTTCCTT